ATTCTACACCAAGCTCAGTTGATTCGGTATCGAACCAGTCCAGTAATTCAAATTCAAGAAGTCAGTCAAAAAAACAAAAACACAGAAAGCTCTCTGTGGACGGTAATATCAACTATGACAAAGAAGTTGATGAGCCATTACGCAATGCATCAATGCACTTAACATTACCACAGGCTAATAATGATGCCGAAAGTAGTTCTGCTGGTGACACTGATTCTAAAACATTTAGTTGTGACTTTTACAATCGTCTTCTTAATGAAATTAAACGTAACCTAGAAGAACAAAAACCACACCGAAATGTAGCAAGACTCCAAAAATTTACTCCTGAATTGGAAATTTCAAACCAAACAGATCACAATTCTGCTTATTTAGAAAGCACTTTAAAAAGAAAACCACATCTGGTTTTGAAAAACTTTGAAAATCTGAATATTGTGTTGAAAAATGATGGACCAAACGAACCTATTCGCCCAGAACATGTAGACCACTGGTTATCAGAAATTATAAAGGATACCGATTTGGAACCAATGCAAAACACCGATATATTGGAGCACAGTAAAATTAATGACTGAGCATTGAAATATAAGAAAAACTTTTAAATAAGAGCAAATGTACTTAAATAAATTATATAATTTAAACCGTTAAGTTCCATCTGGAAAAGATTCTATATTTAGATTCGCGGTTAATATTCTATAAAACCAGTCTTTTTTAGCATACTTTATAGACGTTTTTTAGATGGGCGTTATTGCGTTGACTTCAATGTACGCGATACAGACTGGCTAGCTTTCTTTTAATTAGTTTTTTTTATTTTTTTTTTTTTAGTTTTGAAATTAAACTTTATGATTATTGTTAAAATTTCTAAGAGAAATTTAGCTTTTTGAATGTTTAATATTCTGTGGACTAAAGAATTTTGAGAATTTCGTATTTTATAACTTTGTTTATTTATGTATATGGTTTCCAAAACCAATAACAAAATACATACAGCTTGCTATTTTTTCGGGTACTATTAGAGGTGCAATGTGCAGTGGTATGGAGGCAATCTTCAACATTTCGAAGAGAGAAGATATACTTAGGGCGAAACTACACCAAAAAATTATTGCTGATTGTATGGTGGTTGTGTGCCCAGAACGGCATTCACAGGTCGGGAGTCTACATAACTCGAGACTGCCAATCTGTGAATTTCGTTCAAGGCCTGTCGATAAGCTGTCGGGTCCAAAGGTTGTTTGATGAACCTCTGGACTTCGTCCGCCAGTTCGTAGAGATGCCTCCTGGCGTGTCTGGGCGAAGGCTCTTCTGCAAGGAGTTGCCTGTTTGTGGATGGCCACATCTGTGGCTCCCAGCCAGGACCTGCCTGCAGAGCATTATGTTATGCTCCTTACGTTGCCAGCAAAGTTTCTTTGTCTTTTCCCCAGGTGCTGCCGGCTAGCGACTTGAGGACCTTATGGCGGCTTTGTACTTTGTTGGCAATTGCGGTTGTATGCGCTGAAAAGGAGAGCAGACTACCGAATGTTACTCCGAGTATCTTTGGGTTGTTCACCGTCGGTATTGGTGTATCATTGACGTGATTTCACAGTTGGAGTCTGACCTCCTTCGTCCAGGTGGTAAAAAGTGGGGCTGAGGATTTTGTAGGGGAGAGGGTTAGGCTCCGTGCAGTGAAGAAGCGAGAAAGCTCGGCGAGATATCCGTTTACTTTCGAGCACAAGTCATCAATTCCATTCCCGGAAGCGATGATCGAGCAACCGTCAGCATAAGAGACTATATTAACACCCTCTGGTGGCTGAGGAAGCTTTGAGATGTAATAATTAAACAGTAGCGGGGACAGGACACCACCTGTGGTAACCCCTGTTTAATTTTACGTGGCTTGCTAGTCTGGAAATTACTGACGAGTGTCGACCACTCAGGTAATTCGCCGACCACCGTTTGAGTCCCTGTGGGAGTGAGGAGACCTCTATATCTTCTAGTAGCGTCGAATGACTGACAGTGTCGAACGCCTTAGACAGGTCCAGCGCTACTTGAATGGTTCTCACAGGGGCGCTTTCGATTTAGGCCACGAATTATCTGGGTATTTATGGCGTTAAGTGCTGTTGTTGTGCTGTGAACTGTACGGAACTCATGCTGATGCTTCGCTGGGGTCAGGTGGTTTGTAAAATACGGGAGTAGCAAGGCCTCTATTTTCTTGGCTACCAGGGAAAGGAGGTTTGTCGGACGATAAGACTCTCCTTTGTTGGCTGGTTTCCCCAGTTTGAGCACTGGGACCACTCTCCTCATCTTCCAGATGTCGGGATTGACGAGAGTGGCCACTCCCGTAGGACCCAAATTTTTCAGCATCAGCATGCATATTCCGTCGGGTCTGATGGCTTTGGAGGCTTTCGCCTTCTCGATGGCTACCCTTACCTCACCGCTGGTGAAAACAAGAGGCGCACTTGGTTTTGGCAGTTTGTGCAGCCTTCTGGTCACTCGACGTTTGGCTTTATCCACCGCAGGATGCATGATGAACTGCCGGATGATCCGGATCAACTCGGGAATTAACTGCAGTTGATCCGGATTAAGCCCGAGTTGATCCGGAATAACGCAGCCGTTTGTTTAAGCTTTTACACTTCTTTGTTTTCTCATCATAAATAAAAAAAATGTCCATAAATCAATGTATATCATTAAAAACTGCCACACATTTCTAAATTAAGTTGAAATGTTTAATGCAAAAATACAAAGCATCACATTCTTTCATTTATTAAACTACATATTATAGAAATTTACTATACGTGCAATTGTGATGAGATCTCCACATTGATTTACACTTACTACAGATTTGCGTTTAATGTGATCACAGAATTGATCCTTTGTATTTTATTTTTTCTTACGGAACATAATATTCGTATGTATGTATGCATGTGTATAATGACCACCGGTAACACCAGTAGTTTATATACATATATGTATGTATGTACATGTTCATATGTAGTACACATTTAGAATCATGCCCATTTTTCATTTATTATACAAATTATTAGCACAATAAAATCAAAAGCAAGATCTTTAATAGCGCAACAAAATATCTAATAGTACATACATATGTACACACATATGTACATATGTAAAACTAAAATATAATCAACATTAGTTAAGTAACCAAGAAGGTAGAGAGTTGTCTAATTCTAGGACGTATATGTACATAAAAAAGACTCAATGAAATAAGTACAAACCCATTAACATTTATGCTTTTGTTAAACTTGAGGTTAAGTTGACAACTAGGGTACTTCTCAAATCTCGAACGTTGTTTCTCAACTATAGCTCAACTGGAGAATCATATCATCCGCAACAAAAAGTGCATTTTTTTATATGGAAATAATTAAATTTCTCAACTTGAGAAATATATAGTTATCAACTTGGTCTCCAACGTGGTTCTCTAATTGGTGTCAAATGCGTCGGTGTTGCAAATCCATACTTAAATAAAAATTAAATAATTATGCATGTAGTTTTTGATTTTAATATGAAGCGCCATGACTGAATTTGTTATCGGGTTAAGTGAGAGACTGTAATCAAGTTAAAGGAAATATGCATTCCGGACATTCTTAAAATATCATTTGTTTAAACTACCGCGAAAATTAGATGGAATACATTTCCTGATATGAATAGCATTGACAAATATTAGTTGAAATAATTGTAGGCATAAAGAGTCAAGTCGTTTACTCGGTGTGATTTTGGGTACGTTAATTATTCAAACGGATATGTGGGTGCCTTATTCGTCATAGAACGAAAAAGGTGTATATAGTTTCTAGCTTTGAGATATTCAGATATTTCGCAGCAAAGTAGGCGCGCTTTCCATGCGGGAATATGTACATATGTTCATATTCCTCAGTAAAATGGCATCAAATACTACCTACACCTTTTCCAATAGTTTTTTCAAGAAAACAAAAGTTCCGAAAACCACAAATGAAAATCCGAAAACCGCTGTATGCTTTTCCATGTATGCACATAGAAACTATGCTGATGAAATTGTAATTTTTCGGACTTATGTAGATATTTTATGAAATACGACCGTCAGTTACATTAAAATTAAGACTCGTAGATATAAAACATACATACCTACATATATAAGTACACATACATATATGGCCCATTTACTAAAACTCACAACAAAATAAAAAAATGTTTGGGATGATACAGAACTAGTCGTTAAAGCAGCGAATATGCATTCCAATTATCTGCATTGAGTGTCAATTGAAAGCTTGGAATGCATCTCCTGAAAAATTGTGTGTTTTGGGTTAATACAGTCCTTCAGTTAATATGCGATATGAAAAAGGTAAAAACTGATACGCTGTGTTATTTAAGTTCAAGCAAGATATCTAACAGTGTTGGTGTGAAGTACGTAATAATGCAATCAGCTCCAGCTCGACGAAAACCTTTCATTGTCTCCATTAAGGCATCCTTTAGATCAAAGGCTCCATTTTTGGCAGCAAAATAAAGCATCGAATACTCTCCGCTCACTTGATACACATATAAGGGATGACTTGGATAGGTATCCTTTGTCTGACGCAATATATCCAGATATGGCATGCCTGGCTTCACCATAAGCATATCTGCTCCTTCCACCACGTCTCTGTGAACAGCTCTGATTGCTAGGCCCTTTGATCCACTAGGGAGCTGGTAGCAACGCCGATCGCCGAAAGCTGGTGCAGATTTAGCAGCATCGCGAAAGGGGCCATAAAAATTCGATGCGAATTTAGCCGAATATGACAGCAAAGATACACGATTTTCTAAATTTGCTGCTATCAGTGCTTCTTTGATAGCACGAATTCGATTATCCATCATATCCGAAGGAGCAACAATGTGCGCACCCGCTTTGCCATATGCAACGGCTACTTCTGCCAAACGTTCAATGCTTTGAGAGTTCAAAAGCCCATTTTCTCCAAGAATTCCGCAATGTCCGTGCTTCATGTAAGGACAAAGACAAACATCGCAAGCAATTAAAAGTGTGGGAAACCACTTTCTCAAACGAGGTAGTGCCCGTACAACTGGATTTATATCTGAGTCAGCATTGGTAGCTCGGTCATCTTTTAAATGGGAATCCACAACTCCAAACAGGAGAATCGAAGAAAGACCCTTTGGTATAAGTGGTTCCATAAATTTTCGCAGCTGATTGGCACCCATACGCGATTGACCCGGCATGCTGTTTATAGGTTCGACTGCGTCATCATCTCCAATTACAAAAATTGGATACATTAAATTGTGGGGCGTTATTTCACAACCTGATTCCTGTAGCATACGCAAGGTGGGATGATGAATACCACTATGTAATTTTCTCTCCATTTCGTCTTATATTTTTATTGTTTTACTACGATCAACTACGATCAACTTTACACTCTAAAAAGCTATTCGCGTTTGCCCTATTGATTACCTAAGTACCGCTGATGTTTTATATTGCGTCCACCATACTCCAACAATGAGTTTGCATTTGAATGGATGAGTGCGTGACTTTTCGAACCGAATATACATAACGTCGCTATAAGCAGCCCAAACCGGCCCGCTTTTGCTTGTGTGAAATTCATTGGATATGAGGAAGTAATAGCAATGTACATAATACATCGATTTTCAAAATATCGATATCTAGCCTGCTGGCATGTGGAAGAGAGGGGGTGAGAAGAAACGGGACGAGTCACATGCATCTGTACCGTCAAGTCGTGTCAACTTTTTCTTGCTTTGCTTTTGACATTTTCGTTTTTTCCCATTTAAAGAACCAAAAACTTGAATTCAACAGAATTGAAGCGTGTAAAGCAAATAGAAAACACAAAAGAGAATGGGCAAGATTTGCTTTCAAGTACTTGAATCATGACAATCGCGTGTCGTTATTATCCTCATTTTCGAGCTTAGCCATACAAAATTAGGCCTTCACTAATCTGTAGTTGTAAAATAATCGCAGATTAAACCGATAGATTTTCGATGTCCAACCTAGTTTTATCGATTATTTTTGAGAAAAAGAGGAGAAATGACAAAGGTAGAAATAAACAAAAATGGACGCTAGAAAGGAAAAGAGGTTTACAAGGGTATTTTTGATAAAATATTAAGGTAAAATATATTTAAATTGGTTAATATTGCAGAAAGAAGTGATCACGGTAGCACAGAGAAGAAACTTAACTTACACAACTCGTTTCTTGTCATAAATGTCAAATGTTTTTCTTTACTACACTATTCTACAATTTTAGTGTATAGAAATAGAAAATACAACCAATGTTAACGGTAACTATAAAATTGGCGCATCCGGTCTTAGTTTCCCTATTTTTTATATTTAAGTTTAATAGTAATATATTTCCATGATAAAATTATAGTAAAGGTGTTCTTACACGATATGTATTTGCATGTGTATATGCCACTTTTTACATATGAAAATGCAAACATATCGTGTAAAGACAAATAAGATTTGCTTCCGTACAAAGCACATGCACGGGAAATACGAACTAGAAATGTATTTTCATCTGACACCGAGATAGAATCATCTAGCTTTGGTTTATTTCGTTTTCAGAGAACGTATTTTTAAATAGTTAGACTGTGAATTTGACAGACATATGCAATTACATATGTATCTAAAAAGTCACATTTACAGATGCAATACATATCGTTGGAGGATGGTTCCGTGCTCAGAAGTGGAAAACTTTTGACTGTCATTCAACTGGGAGTGGCCAGAAGCGATTCTTGTGCGTACGGTTTAAATCGCAGCTCACAACGTCCGGATATTTATATTCACGTATCCTCTGGGTAGCAACCAACCCCCCTTTGGGAGTGAGCTAAAGTGAGAAGGTGTAAAATTTCGCATGCGCTGGGTTTGGGTCCCGCCACGTTAAAACCCCGCTAAATAAAAAAAGAACAACCAGCTTTGGATGAGACCCCCTTTTTTGATGACGACCACGGCAAACGTATAAAGGACTATAATTTGAGGTTATGCACCTGGAATATCTGGAGACTTTATTGGGAAGATGCCTCTGCCCGGCTGGTTTATGTCCCCAAGAAGACAAAGGCTGACATCACCGCCATCCAAGAAATGCGATGGACGGGGCAAGGAAAAGCAAGTGTAAAGCCTTGCGATGTCTACTATAGTTGCTACGTAAAGGAGCGCAAATTCGGTGTTGGATTCGTGGTAGGAGAAAGACTCCGTCGCCGAGTTCTAGCGTTCACCCCGGTGGACGAACGTCTACTCACAATCCGCATCAAATCGAGATTCTTCAACATCTCGTTAATCTGCGCTCATGCCCCGACGGAAGAGAAGGACGAGGCGTCCATGAATCTCTTCTATGAGCGCTTAGAGCGTCCATATGAGCGCTGCCGCGACACGATGTTAAATCGTGCTCAACCCCGCCACACCTAAATCCACACCTTAATTCACCACATTATTTCACCACACCTCAACTTTCTCACCACACCTCAACTCACCACACTATAGCTCCCCACCACCACTTAAATCCACCACACCTTAATTCACCATACCTCAACTCACTACAACGAAATTCACCACACCTAAACTCACCACACCTTTTAAGCCCATCACACCTGAATTCACAACGCCGTAACTTCCACACACAATTCCACCACACCGCAACTCACCACATGACGTGTTATCACTTGATGTGGCATCAATAACAACATCATTTGGCACAAAGTGAACCAAAATAAACAAGAGTTTTAATCTTATATAATGAAATATAAAATAATAACGGCATTCATATAAATTGATAAACTTCCGACAAACGAGATAAAATGATAATAAAATCAGTTTATCACTTTTGATGAAGACCCCGAATATATTGCAATATAATGATGTTTCCATATGTTTTTTTGGTTTTTGGTATCTTATCTTATATACAAATAGGCAATCATGTTTTCTTTACGCCCCATTTACGGCTAAAATAAACCTCAAAGTTATAAACAATTATGTATCATTAGAAAGGTATTTTGATGCTGATGTGCAGACAGTTTTTCAAATTTCAAATTGGTTTAACATAAAGCGAAAAAATCAATTCAAATGTTATTATTGTTATTATTATTATTTTTATTATTATTATTATTGTTATTATTATTATTATTGTTATTATTATTATTATTATTATTATTATTATTATTGAATCATGTTTTGAAATCACAGTCATACACTCGTTACATTTGTTTCTTTTTGAATAATCCACTCCGTGCTAAAAAAACATATTTGCGAGGTTAGGAAAAAATCCTGACGTGATAGAGCAAAACGGACTTCAGATTCGTGTTCAGGAGACCAAAACACCTGGGTGTAAGGTATCTTGAAAATATATTCATTCAGGCGATATTAAGACATATAGGGTAGTAGAGTTTTCTATGAATGCAGCAGAAATTTACTTACTTTACTTAGCTTTCAAAATTAAGCTTAAAATTAAAATTGACAGTCGAATTTTATAGTTATTGTTTGTTTCTGCAAACGACTTTCGGCTTTATTTGACTTTATGCAATCTACTTAATACTTAAAGGTATACATTAAGTTCACAACATTGATTTATCTTGCTGACCGATCTGATTTCCTTTCTTTTCTTGATGTAATTCAAATACCCACTTTCACATGATACAAATACGAGTAACCAAATCCATCACATCATTATCAGGCGGGCTCTGCAATTTACGTCCGAGTGAATTTCAACCACAGTCCATTGGAATTCAAATTGAATGGGGTTGAAATTCACTAGGAAGTGCTTTGTGGAACCTGCCGTATAGCTTTGTTTTAAATTACATATATATGTATTAATGAGATAAGTGGATTTAAAGCATGCAACTTCAATTCAATTTGTAATCTAGTCTGTAAGATTTTTTATAAGTCATAGACTAAATAAAGATTGAATTACATAGTTTTTTTTCTGCATATATACATATGTATGTACGTACATACATATGTATATGTATGGATGTGTAGCCCTTGGCTGTTTTAACTTTAAACGTAATCTTAATGATTATAAGGAAGCATCTATCGAATATTACTCAAATACTAAGTATTAGCGAAATAAGTACAATTATAACTAGAAATAAATAAATTGGCATTCCATATTTGGTACGATTTTTTTATCTTTCAATGTTTTGCTGACATCGATGTAATATGACCACGCGTTTAAGAGTCGATTCTACCAGTTACGAATTCCTCTCACCACACTAAGAAACCAGTGCGTGGTGTAGGTATTCTAACGGAAGCGACACAATTTTAAGTTGATGTGAAGTATTTAGTTTTCCATAGAACCTACTCATTATTGTACTGAGTATCAAAAAAGCCTCACTGAAAAAGGTCATTTGGAGTTGTGTGTAACCATATAGCCGTTGCATTTGATTACATACATTGTAAATTATTAAATTGTATAATGTTTGAGTCGGTCAAGCCAAAGATACTTGATAAAATAGCCACTCTTCCATAAATGAGGGCACGAAGGCCTTTGATGTAGTAAACTTCACTTTTGGCCGAAGCAATCGCAATTGATCTTCAAATAACTCCAAAGACTCTGTGCAAGCCGTCCCATTGCCATGAGTTAAATATTTTCCATCTGGTTTTAATATTTTGAACGAATGTTCAAAAATTGTCCGAATAAAATCCCAAATTTCCCCAACAGGTGCTCCAGTTATTGGAATATCAGTGAGATCACCAAACACATAGTCGAATTTTCGTCCTTCGGTAATGAATTTTTTCATGTATTCCACACAATCTCCTACTACGATTTCATAGTTGTCGCCGCTTCGCTTCTCCAGTACATCACCACAAATCGTATTTAAATACTTATTACAGGCTTGCATCACCAGTTCGTCAATTTCAAGCATCACGACAAACTTGGGTTTCTCCTTTAATAATTCATAGAGCAACGCACCGTCTCCACCACCAAGTATGCATATCTCTTTTCCCTCGTAATTTTCAGTTCCTCGACTCATCAATGTTTCCGTATAGATTAAGTCAGACTCGGCAATATCTGCATTATAATGTATAGAATTTCACATGAGAAGACAAGGTAAAAATTTCAAGTACTTACTTTGCAATTCGTCCAAAATCAACATGTTTCCAAGTGTTTTCGAGTGTAGTATTTGTATTTTTTGAAACGGTGACCGCTCCTCATAAACCAGGGCATCAATGTCATACTCGATAATTCGCTCATCTAAAATTTGAAGCTTTTGTTACTGTGCTTTTAAAGTTTATTTTTATTCATTTTTTTATTTTTTATTTTATAATGTACATTGTACGGACGTTTGTAGGCGCCTTAAAAGCAAGGTAAATATAATATTGGAATTAACTTCCGAACAATTCTATAATAAATATTAACCATTACATACAATATATATAATCAATCTACTAATTAAAGGGTAAAGTGCAGAAGGCTTACTTTAATTTGATTCTGCGCGATGGACTTCGATTTGATCCTATGCGCGATTCATATCAGTGTTTTGTACCACTCTATTTTTTACCCTTTTGATTCCTTCTGGGGAACTCTCTATATTCGGATATACGGTTATCCCTTCGTATATTCTTGTATAATAACACTGGATCACAAATCTTAGATTTGTTTTTGTTCTCCAGACGCCATTATCCAATTCTTATGTAGAATTGCTCGGTGATTGCGTAAATCGAGTTAATTTGTTTTTCTATGGATACGGTTTCGAGATATTTGCAATTGCCGTTATTCCGCTTAAAAAAAGAGTGGTTCCACTTAATCGAGTATATCATACAAACCAATTAAACAATCGTAATACGAAATAAAGTAAATGAAAGGCAATGAAATTCTCCATAAACCGTATATACATCACTTTTCCATAGGCCTGATAGTTTCTGAGAAATTAAATAATAACTCCAGATTTTTTGTTTTATGAAAAAAATTCAAAGTTTAACAGGGGAAAAATGAAAAGAGGTGGACTTTTTTTTTTAATTAATTTTTTGTTAATTAATTTCAGGCCTATCGAAAAGTGATGTATAAACGGAGAATTTCATTGGCTTTCATTTCATATTACGATTGTTCAATTTTTTCGTAAGATATACGTGATTAAGTGGAGCAACACTTTTTTTTTAACCTGAATAACGGTAGATTGCAATTATCTCGAAAACGTATCCATAACAAAAAAAAAAAAATTAACTCGATTTTCGGAATTACCGAGCACATCTACATAGGAATTGGATAGTGACATCCAATGATGAACATTTTTGCTGTAAACCAGTGTAACAAATTCACACTTACACAATATTCTAACGTTTGGCCGAGCTTCTCCACCGATTTGTGGCGAGCGCCTTGATGTTATCACACACTCCCACCCCTCCGTACAATTCCCCGCCTCCTTTTGATTAACCTTAAGTCCCTCGAAAGCAGAAGGACTATACTTTCCTTATCTTTTTTTTTACATGGCTTGGTAAGTGGTGAAATCGATTGCCGCTCATTACTGATTGCTATTCAATTTCTTATTCCTGCGAGAACACTTCTTTTTTATTTTCCTATTTACCTCAAGAAGCTTAGTACGAATTACGCAAGAAATGCCCCATTAGTGTGCGTTCACTTCGCGAGCTCAACGAGATATCGAATTATATTTTGCTTGATTTTTCTTTGCCCCAAAATGTGCTTTCTAAACTACTGAATTCAATTTTGTTTTAGTGTTTTCTGCACTTTAGTTCTAATTATTACTATTATTATTATTTATTAACAAATTAAATAAATTAATACGTTAATATTAATGAGCGAGCATTGGCTGCCAGGACTATCAGCTCTAAATAATAATAAACTCTTTGGGTATCACTTAAAAAAAGTAAAATTGACAATCAAAGACGAGCATTAATAAAATAATTATTTCTATATTCGGGCACCAATATGCTTTATAAAATTGTTGTTTATATAATTTATATTTTCCTTCCAGTTTCAATCCAGTTGCTTTTAAGATATTGGTTCCTGATTTCAACAAGGTTAACAATCTTGAAATATGTGTGTTTAAAAGAGAGCGTATCTCCACAGAGTGCACGGGATGGAGGTGGAACACCGGTCAGGAGATGTCGGTGAGTGTCCTGGGTATGGGCAAGGGGCAAACGGGAGTTGTTCTTAATATGCGATTTTGGGATGTGGGTAGGGGTAGGGTATCGTATATTTTTTAGGTCACTGCTGATGGGTGTGTAGTGGTGATGGTTATACTGAAGCCATTCGCTCTTCGCTTTTGCATGGAGGTATCGCTTGATTGCTGCACACATGTCTTTCCTCTCACACATTCCATCTTTTGCTACCGGTATAGTGGAAACGGATTTTGTTGCGCCATCAGCCATTTCGTTGCCGTAAATTCCTGGTGTGACTAGGTATCCAGAGCAAGCGTATAGTAGATCCCCTATCGATGAGTAAATCTCTTATTTGATAAATAGTGTTAGAGTTTGATAAGGGATTTCGAATTGCATTTATCACTGATTTGCTGTCCGTGCATATGAGAGTTTTGCAGCCCTTTCTTCTGCAGTAAAAGAAGACGCGGTATCTGATAGAGTCTGTACTACTGCGAAGCTTGCTGGTGAGTTTTCTGTTCTCAACGCATCTGTGAACCAATGTTCCAACCATCAGCTTCATAATGAACTTTGCGCTCTCGGACAAATATAAAACGACTTCAGGAGTAACGCCTTTTTTTAGTCTAGCCAAACTGATATCGCATGCCGATTTCATGATCTCCCATGGAGGATGTTTTGGTTGGTAGTTTTCCTCCGTGTAGTGGAAGTCTAGATCTTTAGAAATTTCTAGTATTCGATATATAGCAGAGGTAGTTCTTTGCTGTCTTTGTGTGAGGCTAATGTTTTTGATGTCATTATCAATGAGCGAGTTGGATGGAAAAACTATTTTTGGTATTTAGCTCGAATAGACTTGATGTACTCTTTCTTCTACGGATGGTGAACCAACCTCTGCTAATAGGTTTTTGATGGGAGTTGTGCGGTATGGGTAGAGACTCGCTCTCACCACTTGGTGGTAAGATTGATTTAGGAGAGTTTCTAAGTTATTGTTTAGTCAGTAGGAACCTTTGTAGTTGAAATAAATAAACAAATAATTGAGCAAAAAACAAAATCGACTTCAATTCTCATACATATAAAAATTTAAGATTTTCGTTAATTTCTTCATGATCCAATGATAGGATTTAAACGAAATTAATATGGGACTACCTGTGAGGTAACACCTTTCCTTAAAAAAAAAAGGAATTATAGAAATAGGTTAACGTGGTCCGTGGTATATACATATATATATTCCCACGAATTGATAACCTTCTCATTTTTGTGAAGTCGGTCTATAAATAAAAGAGGAGGAACCTACAGTTTTGCGCCGATTCCTAACGGCGATTGTATTTTTATGAGAAGCTGTTTTGCATGGCTTAATACCCTCGTAGGTTTGCCATAGAGCTGCAAAACTATCGATGGTTGGACCTTTAGTCCCCTTTCAGACACGTCAAGTCTTGAAAGCAATTTTTTTCGCATTCCCTTTTGTGTTTTCTATTTGCTTCCACACGCGTCAACTTTAATTGAATTCAAGTCCTTGGTTCTTTTAACGGGAAGCAACGAAAAGATCAAAAGAGACAAGAAAACTTGAAACGAATTGACGGTACGGAGGTATCTGTACTCTTCCCCTCTCTTCTCACCTCCTTCGCCTACGAACGAGCAGACTTGAAAGCAAGACTTGACGTGTCTGAAAGGGGACTTAGATATTTTCGATAGTTTTGGGCTTCACCATTCGATAGTATCGATACTATCGGTAAGAGAAAAATATGAGATTCCTACTACAGCACTATTTATATTGAATATGGTAATATTAGTAGAAAAAACAGAAATGTTAGTTTTAAGCACAATTTTAGTGTGCTTTATCAAAAATAAAAAAATTAGTTATTTTAAGCAACAACGCCCGTTTTCCAAAAATATATGGCCCCTATTACGATTCAAAACTTTCAAGATAGTTGAGTTGTAAGTTGTAAATTGGTATTGTGGGTCACAACTCAACTCAACTTTGAAAGCGTAGTATTTTTCGGCTCAAAATCATTGTGAATATAAATTTTGAGTGAATAAGCTTCACTAGTTTGTGCACTATCGCAGTTTCCGTATTTCTGAAAACAACAGTTATATGGGAGGTAGGCGTAGTTATTGTCCGATGTTGCCCATTTTCAATACCATCCGTCCCACAGTCAAAAGAAGTACACATACCAGGTTTCGTTAAGACAGTCACCGCTTAATCGATTTTTTTTGTCATTCTGATCAGTTATGTATACATTTGTCCATATCTATCTCGATTCGTTTTGTCTGTTACTAACAACCGTTATGTGAACAAAGTTATAATACCACTTGTGCACAAGTGGGCTCGGGTATAAAAAAAAAAACCGGATTGAATTCCCAGCCCTACTATCAACCGCTATCCTGGATAAAAGTTCAAATTAATTCTTTGTTATGGGACACAACATGATTTACACCAATTTTATAATGTTTTTCGCGATTGTTTAAATACTTTACCAGAGAAACGTACTACGTGTCATCATACTTTTTCTTGGCTTGGTACTCGGTAGCTCGGTGTCGGTAATATTTCCTAATGTATTTTGTTTGTGTAAAATAGTGTTACACATTGGCTTCGTCCTTTTTTTATTTTTTTTTATGTATGTTACCGGATAACATTAGATCACCTGAACCGTTTTCGATATTTCCTTTTTATCGGAAAGGTGGTACCTCATGTCTGGTCCCAAACTAATTTGGATTAGTTCCGATTACTGGGTCATGAAGAATTAACTTCTAAATATTTATATGAGCATTGTTGTCGGTTTTGTTCTTTGCCTAAAAATGACTTGTTTTATTACAATTAATTTTTACAAGCTTTTATTAAGTTCCACCTGTGTGTAATCAAATTTGCAATAAATTTTTAAGCAACTTCCCTAGGAAATTTCAAACTTAGTTCAGTACCCGAGGGCAATCAATATGAGGAATTAATCCGGTAGGTGGAGCAGATGTCGAGATATTCGGGAAATCCGTTATAGTCCGATTTGTTTCATTAGTACAAAGTATATTATTTAACTAATAGGAAATAGCTGTACAAAAAATTTAGCCGTTAGGTGGTGCGGAGTCGATTATTTTTATACTAACCACTAATAAAGGCTTGTCAGTACAAGTTAATACTTGTCATCTTTT